TATATATGTAAATTTAAAATCATTTTCGAATTCGATTTGTTTCATCTTTTAAATTCAAATAGTACAAACTGAAACGACAGATAGATAAATATGTACAAAGTTCAAAGTTCATTCGACTCAGATAATCAGTACTAATAATGTACAACGGGAATAATTAATTATTAATAGTATTTATTCTATTTTCAACATAACTAACTAACTACTTAAACAAATGTGTAGGTATAGATAGATGCTCGCATATATAAAAAATACACACACACACACAATCTAATTTATATGTTATTTGGTCAATACATAATATTGATACTTGAATTGAAGTGGTCTAGTAAAACAAAAATCAACAACATGGCAATTATTTGAATGAATGAATAAATAAATGAACATTAATTATTTCATTAAATCAGTTTAATAACTCAATTTATTATTTTTAAACTTTGAACATTTTATAAAATGTATGAATTCTCAACATTATCAGCTTTATTTTAAACTTATTTCTTTACAAATATAATAATGTGAATGTTATTTGAATTTATAATTAAATCTAATTTTTATGTTTAGAATTTATTTGAAATCATTATGAACTATCTTTAAAAGGATAAAAATTAATTTATCAACTGTATGACTTATGTAAAATTGTATTGATATTTCCAAGTTGCATACTCTCATTCTAGCTGACTCTACAAGACGTTAATAAATTTTCAGGCATATTCCTCTACAATAGATAGATAACATTACTATTAAAGGGATCGAAACAAAGCAACCATCAGTCCGCAATAAGTATAGCGCTGTTCTGACATTTAGTGGAGGATCAAGATATGAACAATACATACTCGATCTTAGTGGAAACCAGTCTGCAACTCCTGAATCAATCTGAATTCTTGATTTCAACTTGGATTTCCAACTGAAGAAGACTTATCTAGAGAATTAACAGTTTTTGAGAATCAAGCTTTCTGTCACTTTATTATCTGTGATAGTTATCGCAAAGGGAGAGATTTTCATATTAAGGCTATACTTAACAGCTATCGGTTGTGGATGTCGATCCTTGTACAGACGATATATATGAAAACTTAGTGTTTAACTGCGGATTCTAAAAAATTCATAAGGAATTCATAAGATTAGAATTTCAGATGACACAAAGGTCTCTAACCATCGATTATTATCATCTTGCGGATCCCAACTAGGTAGTCGACACCTGCCAACATGATTCGGTCAACATGTCAGTCACTTCATGGATTTGTGCTATGTTTTGTTTTGGCCACCACTAGCTTTGGTCCAAAATATTCGTATACCGCAAAATATAGTTCGACGAGGCAGTCCGTGGTTAGGCATACACAACACATGTCCCAACCACCTCAACTGATGAAGTGTCAATACTTCATCTATTAACCTGCCATCCTTACCTAGCACCCGTTTCTTAACAACAACATTGCTTACTCGGCTGTCCCACGATACTCGAGAAATGCATCGGAAACACCTATGATCGAAAACCAGTAACCTGCTTATATCTTCTACTCTTACTAGCCATGGTTCAGAGCCAAAATGTAGGACGGAGCGAACTACTGTGCAATACACTCTTTCTTTAATCAGCAAACGGATATCTCGCCTACGCCATTAGTGACACAGGTTGGAAAAAGCTAATCGAGCCTTCTGTCTCGATGCTGAGATTTCGTCAGTTACCAGGCCATCGGCACTGATGAGACTCCCAAGATAAGTGAAGCGGTCTACACGTTCGACTACTTCACTCCCTATCACTAGTTCAGGTGCCGATGCAACCCGGTCTTGAAGCAACATTTTGCATTTCGAAAGGGAAAACCGCATCGTGAATATGCGCGCATTGTTGCTTAGGCTGGTCAGAAGACTGCATTTTGCCAGCGTATTCACCGAATAGAACTATGTCATCGGCATATTCTAGGTCAGTAAGCGATTTTCCTGGTAGAAAGTTGACTCCTGAAAAGTCGGACGAAGATAATGTTATATCTAGCAGCATGTCTATGACAAAATTAAACAAGAATGGAGAAAGTGGACAGCCCTGACGAACACCACTCAGGGGTCAATCTATCAGGACCCGCAGCCCGCCCTCGCTTCAGATTTCCTATAGCCTTTTCAACTTCATAAAGATTCGGAAGACTTATATCGGCTTCCCATTCAGGATGACTGGGGATCGTGGGTAACCGAAGTGTGGCTAAAGGCCAGTTGAACTGATCCCTAAAGTGTTCTGCCCATCGATCCAATCTCCCGGATTGAGAGTGAATAATAGTCCCATCGTTTGCCGAGATAGTTTCACGCACATTCGGATTCCTAATACCAATTTTCTTGATGAGTTTGAATAGTTGCATACTGTTGTCTATCGCCGTTGCCCTTTCCATCTCCCTTGCTTTCTCTACCCACCACTGTTCTCGATCATTGTGAAGGCTTTTTATCAGGCTGCGCTTGAGCTAACTTCGCTCTTCATCGTGTTCAGAGCCAGGTGGGATAGGTTTATGAGCGTCTGTCAGTTCGATGTGTGCCAGTGAGATCCACGGCTTCTTCCTAGCCTTATGGGTTTAACTTACTAGCAGATATCACTGCTGTTTCCACAGCCTTTTTGATATCATTCCAAGCTGCCTCAGGGTGTGCATCACTTACTACAGGGCTGCCTAACTGTTTTTCTAGTTGTTCCTGAAATATATTCTTAGCTTTATTATCATTAAGTAGAACTTTAAGATTTTGGAGAAATTTAGAGAGCTTTCTATAAAACTTATCTTTCATGTCGTCTGAACTGCAGTCGGTTGGAGCGTAGGCTGATACGACGAAGAGCATCTTGTATGCGCGTTTCGGAGACGCAACATACATCGATCGGCCGAGATTCCAGAGTTCTAGTTAATGAAGCCTGTTGCCCTGTTTGGCACAGGGTCCGAACATTAAAAGCTCCTATATACGATTTAGTACGGGGTTTCAAGAGACCAGGAATAATGTTTCGTGAGCTCATACTGTTTGCTTCAGTGGCGTGAGGTGGTAAAGGATCGAAAGAAGGGTTTCTCAAGAAGATAAGAGAGTTACTAGGAGGTATAGAAAGGATTTGATTGTGACCTATTTGGTCTCGAGTATTAGCTTCGCTCTTTTTAAGGTCCTTATTGGGCAGCCCTTACGGCCGGAGACGGAAACCCGTGAGTAGCTGCTTTTAGTCTCACCGTTCTTCAACCGACCTGTCTGGCATGGCAGAACCTACAGGAATATATAATCTAGCCAATATACCTCGGTTTGATCGTCACGATAGGCAAGCCGTACCACCACGTTAAGGGAGCTGCTACGGTCGGGCCATCTCAACGATAATTCAACAAACCAGCCCCAACCAAACAGAAAATTCATAATTATTATCATAGCTAAATCGAAAACATTCACTGACTGCATACATCAATGTAATGTCTTAGTTTGGTTTCATTTTTCTTCTGATCAATTCAACTACCAGATAACATTTTGTCTTAAATGTTTGCAAAGCCATTAAAAGTCAATCAAACTTTGTAAATCCACATTTTTTCTTTGGCAAAAAACATCTAATTATTTATTGATAAGAGATGTTTCTTTTTCTAAAAAAAACACACAGAAAGGCGATCTTCTGAATGTATGTATATATCTATACATATATATAGGAATCAATGAACACACATACATTTGAAGTTTATTGTTTATTCATACTGTGAGTATTCAAAGATAACTATTCATCAATCAAATAAAAATCATAAAAACACCAATACCCAATTTTTAGGAAATAATTTCAAAGAAAATATTATCATGATAATGAGTATGCAGTGCAGTACAATGCAATGATTGCGACAAGTTTACATTTAGACAGAAAACACAAAGGAGGACAATTTTTTTTTTATCGAATTCAGTTTAAATCTCAATTAAGATAAGATTAAATAGAAGGAGGTATTACAGTCAGTCAGTAAGATTCAACGTAGATCTTTGTACGTAAGTACATCAGTTCATGTTGCCATACCACATTAGCACACAGAGATATAATTGTCAATTCAAATCCAATAGTACAAGAGGTAGTAAAGGTATTAGAAGTAATCGGAGAGGTTAGGATTAGAAGATATTATTCATGAAGTATAATTCAGTAGGAGGTATTACAGAGGTGTATTGAATAAAAAAAAACAGCGGGAAAGACAATACAACTTGTGACATTTAGACAAAAACAAAGAGTCCAGTTTGAATCATATTAAATAATAATTTCATCAATACAAGATAAAATAATTCTGAAAAATCATTAATCAATCATAAAACATTTTGAGGAGAAAAAAAAATCAACTGTTCAATCACTTTTCAATATTATCTTGTGTTATTTTTTTTACACAATTAATTAGTTAAAATTTTAGTTGGGGGCTGTTGAAAGGAGAGGAGAGGAGAAGAGGCTTGTTACCTCTTCTTGATGTGTTAATAAGAAAACAATAAAATAGTTTACAATTTTTATTTGTTTGTTTGATTAAATTACAAATACAAATTACATATTGTACAATAATATGTGCATTAAAATAGATTAGAAATGAAAAAAGAAATGGGAAGTTTTGGGAAGTTTTTTCTGTCTAAAAACAAACAACAAGTTGGTATATGATGACAAAAATAATTTTAAAAAAAAGTATCAAATTTGTGTGTATAGGAAGAAAGAAAGAAAAGACACTAGTGAGGGATAAGTGTGTATTATTTCCATTGGCATTTTCCTATTTTTCCGTTTGCACAGAAATCAGAAGGGAAAATTCAATAAATTTTTTTTTCACCACACAATGAATGATTCAATCTTGATGGAACTTGAATTTTAGGTATCAAGTGTATTCGACGGAGATGATAACGATGATGATGGTAATAGGGGTTGTTCATTATTGAAACAACATTGACGACTTTCATTGGCTACCATACGGAAAAGCAACTAAAATTGAGACAGAGATTTTTTAAAACAACAACAATTAAGAGAGCGCAAATTCGTTTATAAAAATACCATTTAATACAATCCATGGTTATAATCTCAGCAAAAATTAATCAAAACTTCATGTAACAGGGTATTCACATCATTGTTACCGATATCGTTTTTAAACTGCTATACAATAATTACACTTAGAGATTACAGAGTCTTCTGTCCTAGGAAAAAAACTCACGAAAATAATCCACCGTACTGATAGAGGACTTGAGCGGCAAAGTCTGGATGGGCAACACCACGTTTGAATGCATCATCATTATGTTAGGATATTCATCCAATATCCTAAGAGAATTACTGGTCAATTCCTATTGGTTAATTCCTACTAGTCAATTTTATGGTCGTCTTAACTGTCAATGTCACACACTTCGATGCTGTTTCCCATTCGACCAAAATGTATAAATACGCATTATCTGTAACGTTTTTTGACCAGGACTCGGTCCCGGATCCCTAGTCCGGGATCCTGATTCTCTTCTGGACTCAGACCTCGCACTTTCTGGATGCTTGTAGAATACAGGTTCTACTTCATATCAAGTCTTGTCTTCTTTTACTCAATATGGGGGTTGGCATAATCGGATTTGAGTAGTATGTCGTGTCGCCGGATCCTTGCTCTGGTTTTCCGACTAGGTAAACTTGTAATAATTCAAGCATAGCAAGTTGATGTGTTTACGTGCAGGCGTAACACATCATGGACTAGTAAAGGAGACGATAATGATGAGACATGTGTGAGGAAAAAACATCCACCACATCAAAGAACCAAATAAAAGAGATTTCAACAAGGGCAAGAAATATAGGATGATCATACAACTGTCAGAACTACACAACGTTTTTTACAGTGTTGATAAACCGAATGTGTAATCTAAGCTGGCTTTACTAAGGAACCGTCATGAGCCGACTGAATTGCGACACTGTTCAACCATCAATTGAATGCAACCCATCTCACCATACGTCGACTGCTCATTGATGACAAGAAAGCATTCCACATCTTGAATAGAAAAACCATGTGGAATTTTCTTACACATTATGAATTAGCTGAAAATATTTTCACCATCATACCGAACTCCTACGATGAACTGAGTCACAAAGTCGTGCATCGAACGGCAGATCACAAATGCATTCCAAGTGAACATTGATGTTAGGAAAGGTTGTCATCTGCCACCTTTCCTCTTCCTCTTAACTGTTGACTCGATGGATTATGAAGAACTCCACAGCTCAAGAGAAAAACGGAATACAGTGGACATCTTGGACACAGTTGGTTTACTTGGACTTTGCGGATCACTTAGTCATACTATAGCATACACGGCAACAAATACAAGTGCAGACACCTTGTGTAACACTGACCTCCGTACATATACGCCTTAACATTACAACCGAAAAAACAACATTCTCAAGTACAACGCAACCGCCACCAACCAAGTCACACTTGATCAACAAGCTCTGCAACGACGCGACATCATTCATCAACAGGATCTCATGCACATGGGGAGGCACGAATTATTGGCAAAGTGAGGCAAAGTTTCCTGAAATTCGAGGATATCTGCAACTCTAAAGTATTGTCATCCACGATCAAAGTCACAATTCTCAACACTAAAGTCAAAACAGTTCTGTTGTGCGAAGATGGGACTTGGAGTACTACCACAAACTCCGCAAAAAAGAGTGCAGGTGCTTGTGAGAGACCATTTACATATGATACTCCAGATCTGCTAGCTGGAGACCAACAACAACCTACTCTTGCGGATAACAAACCAGCTGTTGCCAGTTGAGTAAGAAATCGGGAAAAGATGTTGAAAGTGGATCGGACACTTTAAAGAAACCATTAAACCGAATCACAAGACAAGTCCTAACCCGTAATTCTTACGACAGAAAGGAAAAGGCAAACCGAAATTTATATGGCATCGATAATTGGAGGTAGACATCCAAACCATGAATAGTATCCAGCAAGGACATTACAGGAGAGTCGTTCGTCTCACCCTGTGTAGAGGCCTGAGTAAGTAATTTTTCCACTGTTATATGAGACGAAAGTCTTCATATTAGTTATTTATATGTTCTAAAACATTTAATTAGGTAAGAAGTTCGTATCCCTAACTTCAGTAAAGCGTAAACAGAAAAACTTTACCAATGCATGTGATAACCTGAGCTGCCTAGAGAAATCGCGTGACTTCTGTAAAACTACACAGTCACAGGTTGTTTGAAGTCTGAATGCTATGTGGCAAATTGCTTACGTGAAATAAAAGCGGAAGCAATAGAGCACGTTTTAGACAAAAGTTTTAGAACTTGTCGTCATCGAGAACCAGAGTAAAAATACCTATGATCTGTGTGCAGCATAATTCGATACGGTAATATTAAACCTTCCTAGTCATACAATACTCTCATCTGCATAACGGTATTGGTATATCACAGGAAGCGTACATAATGTAAATAGATCGGACCACAGAACACAAAACTGAAAACTTTTGTTTTCAAAATTAGATTGTTTGAAGACACAATCAATAAACAACAGCAGACAATTAACTTACAATTGCAGCTAAGGCTAACGCAACCATAAGCATAATAATAACGACAGACCATCCATATGGTTTTATGAGACCGCATAGTAAAGGTCCAAGTGCAGCACCTAATTTAACGAATACAAAATACAACAACAAACTGTCACGATGTCAATAAAGTAAAATATCTTTTATACAATTTAGAATGACTATAAAACAAAGACAATATAACCAAACTGACTCCAGATATAACATTAATTGGTACGCGATACTAACACGAGACAGCGTCATATGGTAATTTAGAGTTTTTTGAAAGAATAACTGTTAGATATATTCACCAACAACTCCTAGTACAGATAAGATTCGGCATGAAATACATATTGTTGTACGATTTTCTCAAACAGAGTTATAGAGATCATTGTTTTAACACAGAGAAATCATCAATCAATCATTGTTAGACTACAATTAGATACCTGGAGGCGCTGGAAGGCCGGTTCGTCTTAGTATGGGACTCATCTGCAGTGCGTACACACAACTCATGCGAGTCGCAGGATTCGAACCCAGGACCTTCGGTCTTGCGCGCGAATGCCCAACCTCCGGACCACTGGACTGGAATCCAACGGTGTTAATGTCTAAATTTGGTCAATCTAAGGATTTTGTGCAAACTCATCCATTATCTTCCGTAGTTACTGCCTACACCCAATAGGATCGAATTCCATTAGTCACATCTTCCCACTAGAACTCCGGGAATGGGTGAGGTCGCGCAAAATCCCCAGATTGATCACAGTTAGACATTAACACCATCGGATGCTTGTCGGCTCAATGGTTAAGAGGTTGGGCGTTCGTGCACAAGACCGAAGGTCTTGGGTTCAACTCCGGCGAGTAGTGTGAGTCGTGTGTGCACACTGCTGATGAACCCCATACCAGGAAGAAAAGGCCGTCCATTGCTTCCAGGTTTCTAATGGCGTTCTAACAATGATTGATTGACGATTTTAATGTGTAAAATATTGTTGTAATTGATTACAATGTATATTCAGCTACAGTTGCATACAACATTACAAAATACGAAATCCTTAATAATCGAGCAGAAATATACTGAACAGAGCGGATTTAGTAAACAATCTACTCCTGTCATCCAACTGTTATGATTAAATCATCAATAAACTATCTTTCTCTTAAATTCAACAATAAACAAAGGATAAAACTAAACACTTAAAAAAAGATTGTTAACAAACATGTGTAACTTTTTAAAAATACAATATATAACACTTGAAAGTAATAAGTCGTAACTTAACAATTGACAATGTAAGCAAAGATTAATTAAAATTCCCTTCATTGTTTAATCTGTACAATGACCTATTAGTAGCAGATACAATAAGTTTGATTATTTCACTGATTCTCAACAGACTCATACAACTTCTGATCACGATTGATTTTTAATCAATAACGAACAAAATTATATTACTATATATTTATAATAACAATAGTGCATGTAAGCTTTCGGATAGGTTAACTCTGTCCAACAGGCAGCACATAAGTTCCCTTCCTCCCTTTGTTGACAGTTCAAACTATTTAAACTAAACTACTAAAAGGCAGATATCAGGGAGGGTGGAGAAAATTTGTAGCTCAGGTGGATGATTGTGGTGGTGGTGTTTGGTTCTCTGAGCTGGATGTTTTGGTTGTGGAGCTTTCATTGTTCTTCCACTGAACAACATCATCAGCACAAACTTCAGATAGAAGTGAAGCATTCGAATTTCTCCACGTTTGACCTGTAGCTTGTTCTGCTAACCTCGATCTTGATTGGTTGCTGTTGACCTTAAACATGTCGTTGTTTGCACCTTTGTTTTGATTGTATCCCCCTTTTGATCTGTTTCTTGATCCTATGTCGCCTATAATTTTTCTGATTGGTTGATAAATTGGGTCAAAGTCGATGTGTTTGTTGATTGCTGATTGACTTGAGTGCCAAGCTTCTAAAAATTCTCTAGTGTTCTTTGTCACCCACCTAACCAGTATTTCCACATTGTTACAATCGAATGTGTGCCCATAATTGTTGGTGTGTATTGATATAAGCGAAGCGTTGTCATGGTGTTTGACTGGTAATTGGATTTCACGTAAACGAATCTGAAGAGGCAGTCCACTTTGTCCTATGAAGTGTTTTCACAGTCTGAGCAATTTATTTTGTAGATGATATTTAGTTTTTCCTCCTTTGTCATTTTGTCTTTTGGTCTACATAGGATTGATTGAAGTGATTCTGTTGGTTTATGTGCCCCACACCTATTCCAAATGGTTTCAGTAGTCGTGCTGTATGCTCCGATATGTCTTTTATGTATGGTAGGATGATTCGTTTATTGGTTCCTGTACTTGATTTCGCTTCTGTTGACGATTTCAGTTGTTGTTTTTTGATGAAGTTGCGTGGATAGCCGTTCTTTTGGAAGATAGTCAAAAGATGTTTTTCATCGTTTCTTTAGTGCATCATATGTGTCGCAGTATGTCTTCGCTCTCTTGAACAAAGTTTGTGGGTTCTTGGGTTGTTGCTATCGTAGTTGAGAATTAGGTCTGTGTTGGGTGGCTTCCGAAATACTTGAGTTTCCAGTTTTCCTGTGTTAGTTCTGGTGATGAGTACATCCAGGAATAATAGACCGTTGTTTGATTCATTTTCCATTTTGAATTCGATGTCATCGAAGACGTTGTTGATCTGATTGTAGAAGTAACAAGCGTAAATAAGTGAATAAAAAAATGTTTCTCATCAGATTATCAAGAATAAAAAAATGCTATAACTATCAAATCGAATGCAATATATAAAGTACAAATATGATTAACACAACATACCAATGGAACCAGTGCCATCAATGATACCTGTCACTGTAGCTAATGCACGAGAATTTGTAGACAATGAAGGATGTGTGCCTAAATCAGCTGAAACTGCCGTTGTAATTAAACCATACGGACCATTCACAAGTAAACCCAATGGGATTAATAAACCTGACGAGAAAAAATAATAATAATATGTGAAAATGATTGACTGATTGGATAAGTGTATTTCAGTGTATTAGGAATAATAATAATATAATGACAGAATCAGCAACGATAGACAAATTTTGAACAATTGATTGATAGAAGAATACTGCTTGGCTGTTTAAATCTTATTAGATAAGAGATGATATGCAAACGATTGAATTGGTCACAAATACATATTCACGGTGGATTTTAGGTCTTTAACGAGACATGCTAGCAATCAAGTCCACATTGGCTTTTCCTCAAATCTTGAGCTTCAAATTTGTTTCATGCTTTTCATTTCACGAATTAATTAATCGTTCTTGAACTATTTCTGTTTAATCTTTTTCACTAACATCATCTCCTTTTGAGGATGTAGTTCGACAACTTGAACTGGTGTATGTATTGGGCCGAATTCTGCATTCTCTAAGACTGAATGTCTGCAAGATGCAGATGAACCGTTATGGTACTACAAAGCTGAGTACGATGATAGATCAATCTCAGTCAATCAGGGTATGAGGGCGGATGTCACTTCCCGGCTGCCCACACCGTGGAAGGGTGTTTCTTGAGGAACCTGAGAAGGAAGGTAGATTAGTGTTGGTCGTAACGACCTGGGAGTGTGACCGCAGAGCCCAAGGGACAACTGCTTGAGGCAAGTCACGCACGGTCTTTGGATGAAAAGTTTTTAAATTAATGGCCCCGTTCTTGTCTAAAAGAACAATGCCGTAGACAGAAATCCGTCAGGTGAGATGAGGTGTGACATTTTTAGGGTCGACCTTTTCTAACCCTTCCTTCCTTGTGAGAAGGCAGCATCGCTGCAGATGATGGTTGTCAAAGGGAAACACCTTACTGCCGTCACACCCCTCTACAGTCAGCAGTACGACTTCAAACTCAGATCTTGAGTAGCTGCTTTTAGTCTCATCGTTCTCCAATCAACCTGCCTGGCATGGTAGAACCTTCAGGAACATATGTTCCAGCCAATATATCTCGGTTGCATCATCACGATAGGCATGCCCGACCACCACGTCAAGGTAGCAGCTGTGGTTGGGATAGTTAATCTAACAAAATATCACATGAATTGAAGATATACAAGGAAAACAACAACAACAACAACTGTCTTTCGCTCTATTCTAGTGTCTGTCGTCAATATATCCACCTAGTACTGCTCTGCGGTGAAAATGAAGAATAAGTCATGCTACACTGTGAAATTGTTGATTACAAAAACAAGAACAATAGGTTGGTTTTGACTTCTGATGCACGATTAAGATTCTACTTTACTTATGATAATTGACAACTAACCTCAAAGTTTAGGAGGTCAGACAGAATATCTGAACGAATATGAAGGGTAACTGGCTGATGAATAGGAGTATCAGCGGTAATGTAAAAGATTAGGGTTGGAAGTTATTAATCAAGAAGTATAATCTAAAGATAGATATTAGAATTTGAGAGAACATAAATAGTGGATGCACCTGCGCCATTGCAAACGGTTTTGAGCCACGTCATTCAGGGTCCCTAACCAGCTGTTACTATCACCTCGTGGGCCCCAACCAGGTAGTTGACATCTACCAACATGACTCAGTCAACTTGTCAGTGACTTCATGGATTTGTGCCATGTTTTGGTTTGGCCGCCCCCAGCTTTCTTTTAACCTACTCCTTCACCACAAAACATAGCTCGTCGAGGTAGTCGTTAGCTGGGCATTCGTAATACATATCCCAACCACCTCCATTGATGACGTTTCAATACTTCTTCTACTAACCTGCCATCCTCACCTAGCACCCATTTCATAGGAACAGTATTGCTTACTTGGTATTCCATGATACACAAGTAATGCTTCGGACACACCTATGATCGAATACTAGTAACCTACGTATATCTTCTACTTTTACTGGCCATGTTTCATAGCCATGAAGTAGGACGAATCAAACTGCTGCGCAGTACACTCGTCCTTTGGTAAACCAAAATAATGACGAGTGAATTAAGGATCAAAATTTTTGTTTTCTATGTAACCCTATATCGATTATTGATTAATGTATTGATTCGGCTTTTGAGTCATAATAAATTTTTGTATAAATCAATATAATACACTATCGTCTGTTCAAACTAAATTAGCGAAAAGTAATGGTTTATTTTTCAATCTAATTGCTTGTGAGTCTGATGCTTTTAATCACTGATCCATAACGTTGATACAAACCATTCACAGTATTGAAACATGATTATTTATCAATATAGTACTCGATCTGTACTAATTGACACTGAATAATATGACTTGTAATCTTCATAAACATAAAATTCAATTAGTTACTTGTAAAAGAAAAAAACCAGACAATATACCAATCGAATAGTACCTGAACTAGTGAAAGGGAGTGAAGTAGTCGAACGTGTAGACCGCTTCACTCATCTGGGGAGTCTCATCAGTTCCGATGGCCTGGTGTATGACGAAATCTCAGCACGGATACAGAGCGCTCGATTGGCTTTTGCCAACCTGCGTCACTAATGGCGTAGACGAGATATTCGTTTGCTAACCAAAGAACGAGTTTACTGTGCAGTAGTTCGCTCCGTCTTACTTTATGGCTGTGATACATGGCCAGTAAGAGTAGGAGATATTCGCAGGTTAGAGTTTTCCGATCACAAGTGTGTCCGAAGCATTGCTTGTGTATCATGGGACAACTGAGTAAGCAATACTATAGTTAGGAAACGGGTGCTAGGTAGGGATGGCAGGTCAATAGATGAAGTAATGAAACTTTATCAGTTTAGGTAGTTGGGACATGTGTTGCGTATGCCCAACCATCGACTGCCGCGACGAGCTGTTTTTTGGTGTGGGAGTAGGTTGGAAGAAAGTTAGGGGTGGCCAAACCAAAACATGGTACAAATCCATGCAGTCACTGACAAATGGACTGAGTCATGTCGGTAGGTGTCGACTACGTGGTTGGGGTCCGCGAGACGATATTTATCGATGGTTAGTGATCTTGAATGACATGGCTCAAAGCAGTTTACAATGGCTCAGGTGCATCCACTCGTTGTGTTCTATGAAATTCTAATCTGAATTCCTTATTACCTCAGTCTTTCTCCTTCTAAAGTTATCTCACTAAACTATACTTCTTGAATAATATCTTCCATCCCTAATATTCTCCATTACCGCTAATTCTTCTACTATCTCCACCACTATGAGACTTGAACTGACAGTGGCCGTCTCTGTACTAATGCGGTACGTACGTACGAATTTCTACGTTGTAACTGACTAACTGACCAATCGAATAGTTTCTTTGCACAGTCAGAAATATATTTGAAAACTGTAGGTAATATATGCATAAGAATTGTAGTCTATAACATAATGCAGACAATAGCATTCTGAATGATTGATTTATTCTAGATTTTCAAAACAAATAAACTGTGAGAATATATATACAGAACACAATATAAAAGCAAAGCGAAGCAAAGCAAATATCGTAATTCTTTTAGTCTACTTACCAATACAATGTGCTAAAGAACGGAAACCAACAATGGAATACAAATATAACTATGTTGGATTTAGAAAAAAAAGAAAAGAAAGGAGAAGAAAACTGTTAGGATATTCACCAAATATCCTAAGAGTACTATTTTTGGAAGTATAATCCTATTGGTCGAAATAAATGGTCGTTTTAACTGTCAAAGTCAAATACTTCAATGTTGTCTCTTATTGGTCATCCGGACTGTCAATGTCATTTCAAATGTTCTTTCCTATTGGTTGTCCTAAACTGTCAATGTCACAGATTTTGATGCCTTTTCCTATTCGACCTAAATGTATAAATACGCACTATCTGTAAGACTTCATATTTCCGTTCCTTCCTGCCTACCTCTCTTCTGTACTCGACCCAATAAACAACTCCATCGAACGGTGTTGCGTTCTGATATATAGGAGATTTGGGAAATAGTATTTAGGTCGTATTGGAGTATTTGAATTCAGACGTCGGTAGGATTTGAAAAGCTACGTAGCAGCATTATAAAAAAAACATTAGTGAGTAAAGAAACCGAAGAGTTTGTACAATATCACAATAACAAATTAAAAGCCAATTGAGAACAAGGGAAAAAGTTAATATTGGTTTTGTGATTCTGACAGTGAACACTGATAACATCTTTAAAATGATTGTGTTATGATGATATAATTGGGAATTGGCTGGGAGTGAAAATTGAACCACAATCTCTTCTTCAAGTATAAAATCAAATTAAACGATTCAAACACTAAGATCACGGTGACTTCTATGTATCGATGGTTGGTTTCTAGATTGCCTGACAAGTAACTTGCAAAGAGAAAAAAACTTGATTTAGAAATTTCATCTTAGGAATATATAGTATTCGCGTTTAAATAGCGTTAACTCTCATTTTCTTAAGCTTAGACTTGATTCAGTATAGTCTAGTGACTACAAAATGAAAGAAATATACGAACAATATTGGATGTTTACTCGAATAGAATGGGTGTGTGTTCAGTAAATCCAATTAATACTTCAATCAATAGACTATGTTGGTTGAATTGAAGTAGGACATAAATAGAAATTCAAATCTAAATAAAACATTTTAAGCTTCCTAATTGCACTGTCACATAAACAAACAGCGGTTTCGTAGTTCACAAACTCTTCAACGTCATGACATATTATGTCAATCAGTCAATTATTTACAACGTAGAAACTTCGTACATATGTACGTACATAAGTTCAGGTCGTCATCTCACATTAGTACAGAGATGCAATTGTCAACTGAAATCCCATAGTGGAAGAGATAGTAAAAGTATTAGCAGAGTAATGCAGAATATTAGGATTTGAAGAAATTATTCAAGAAGCATTATTATTCGGTGAGATAAATTTAGAAATAAAAAAAGACAATATTACGTAACTATTATTGGATGGCTTTAATTGTTTCTTCCAACTTTTAACTACTATTAGTCTAAATATTTCCTCTTGATGAATTCCCTTCACTGTGTGTTTTACATACACAAATTGGATAGATAAGCTATCCGTACTGAAAATATTATAATGCCTTGGCAAACCTCTTGAGGAATGTTATTTTTATTGATTTTTAAAACCAAAATCAAAAGTGATGATGAGTTTGTTGAATTAAATGAAAGCTATGACAATGATTTTTTAAGATGGGATTTTTTGCAACTTTAAGAACTCTGAATATAAGGAATAAACAGGAAGAAAATCTGATTAATGTTGGGAATGTTAGATTCCTAGAACTCATTCGGAAAAGGTCCTGCGTTTTCGCGCCAAGAGACGCTTAGTTGATGACCTACAGCTCACATTTCCCACTCCGGAAAATTTTAGTACACTATTTTGTGGCTCTCCCAAGAACGTTGCTATCATTGTATAAATAAGCTTGAGTTGTGTGCTTGGCAATCTCGTAATTTCTGGGTGCTCGTCGAATGCATTCTCTACATCTTATCAAGACTTATTGATATAGTTAGCGGGGTCAGTGACAATCAGATGAGAATAGCCTATCGTATTACTGTATCGTTGACCTTCGTTCCGTTTACTGCGTAAGGTGAACTCGTAATACCATGCAAGTATATCAGTTAGTCTTCAAATATTGGACCAATGTTGTCCATACTCTTTCTTAAAATATTAGTAAAGAGTGCTGAAGATTTTTTCATTGAAATGACGAACTGATGAATGTCGAATCACCACTAGAGACATGGAAGCACTGAACGGTTACTTCGTCTTAGCATAGGATTAGTCAGCAGTATGGATCCACGACTTGGCAAGCGGGAATCGAACCGAGGACCTTTGGTATTGCCCAAGAACGCTTAACCTCTCGGTCACCGGGTCGGCATCCAACGATGTTTAATTTCAACTAATACACGATATTGTGCAATCATTATCCATTGTCTTCGGTGAGTAACTGTCTCACACTCAACAGAGTTGAATTCCAATCGTCATATCTTCTCACTAGCACTCTGAGATGTCAATAAAGGGTTGAATTTCATTGAAATCATGGACCAAATACACCGCATTATCATTTATAGTTCAAATGGCTTTACTGGACTAAACTACCACTGAAATATAATGTTAGCATGCATGGTAAGTATACTAACCCTAAATCACATAAATTACATACAGTTTGTTCCAACTCGAATACAGAGAGTTTTAGAAGAAATATGAATTTGGAATGTTCTTTTTCTCTCAACATAAAACTATAAAATAATAATGATCATAAAAGTTGACCAAAAAAAGAAAGAATCTCTCCTACAACTCTCATTGATAACAGTTTACTTACTGTAGGTATTGACAAAGCAATCATTACTACACATGTAATAGCACTTGATCCAGTACTGTCCGATATGGAACCAGCAAGAATTCCACCAAGTATACCACCTACATCAAAAACAGCTGATAAATCAGCTGATGATGATGGATTGAAACCGCCTTCTTCAAGTATATACAATGGTAACCAAAATAGAAAAGTATATGAGACTAGTTTAGAGAAGAATAATGTCAATGAATATTCAATAACACCCTGAAAGAGATAGAGAAAGAAAAAGAATTAAAAAGATTATTAAATAAAATAGCTGCAAGTTTAAAGGCTATTGTATATACATTTCACTGAGTATTTATTAAATATTTGGTTTAAGAGCAATGTTTTGTGATGTAGGGGTAGGTTGGAAGAAAGCTAGGGGCGGCCAAATCAAAACATGACACAAATCCATGCAGTCAGTGACAAGTGGACTGGGTCATGTTGGTAGATGTAGGCTATCTGGTTGGGGCCCGCGAGACGATAGTCACCGATGGTTAGAGACCTTGAATGACATGGCTCATGATAGTTTGTAATGGCGCAGGTGCATCCACTCTTTGTGTTCTATCAAATTCTAATCTTCTGAATTCCTCATAATCTCTATGTTTCTCTTTCTAACTTTATCTCACTGAATTATACTTATCGAATCATATCTTCGCTCCCTAATCTTCTCCATTACTGCTAATACTTCTACCATCGCTATCACTCTTGGATTTGAACTGACAGTTGCGTCTCTGTGCTGATGTGGTATGGCAACCTGAACTGATGTACTTACGTACGAAGTTCTGCGTTGTATCTGTCTGTCTGTCTTTTAATATCTCCTTCACCGTTCATAGTATACAATCAATCAATTAATCATGTATCTGCTACTCATTTTAGTATCACAAATTAAACAGTTATATACACATTGAGACCTCTTATTTATAGCGAGTTAATGGTCTTATAACTGATGCATATTTTCGTAAAGTTTTATGATATAATAATATAATAAGGAAAGTAAATCAGTTTGTTGTTCTCATGTCCTGATAGTATAAGTTAGGGACAGAAAGAATCGATGTAAGGCATACAGTGTGAGAATATTTCTTTTTCAAGTAATTGAAAATGAAACTGATTAAGAATAGTCATGAAAATCTGCGAAGATAGTGGTAGAGCTTCAGGAACAACTACTTGAGGTCGGTCACAAACGGTTTTTATGTGGTAAATTTTTTGATAAGTCAGCTCCGTACTTGGAAAAGCTTAGACGAGAATCAATGGATTAAGAATAATTGTGACAATTTTAAGATCAAATTTTTAATTCTCCCGTTTCTTTATGAAAATTTATCATCGCTACGCATGTTGGTTGTTTGAGGGAAACATTTTAATGCTATCACATTCTTGTATAACGAGCAGTATGTCTGCGGACCTTAGTTTCCTCCCTTTATTCTTGCCGTTCCTCAACCAATTTATTTGGTATGGTAGGGCCTAAACGAACAAGTGTTTCAACTCGTTTAGCTCGGCTTGAATCATCAAGACAGACAACCGCAACCATCACTTCGTGGCAGCAGCCACGGTCGGGAGCTGAGGTGACTAAATTAAGAGCTTTCTGGAACATTGCCTGTAAATAAAGTGGACTTCTTGAGATCACTAGATCGAATTTCGTTGGATTAAAAATAGCTAGAATAAGTTTTACAAACAAAGTCTGTTACCATGTACAGTAGGATGGATATTGAGTTGGAAGTCTCTCATCAGGGAGGATTTAGCACAAATATCGAATTTTTACAAATACTGTCACAGAATAAAAAACTTAAACGCCATAGTTAAGTTCTAACAATGGGAATCGAATTATCCAGTGTTGATATTGAACGAATTTTAAGATACATTTCACTGAAGAGCGACGAATCAATCGAAAAGCGATCACGTCAAGAGTTTCACATCAGTCAGTAGCTCTTCAATAGATATCGTAAGTAGCAGCTTTATATGTACACACACAAACACACATTATTTAAAATGTTCAACTTTTAAGAATGCATCAAGAATGTTCTACATAAAAAAAGATAATTTACTCATTATAATAAGGTTATTCTTTTTTGGTAAGTTTTTATTATACACAAACTTACAGGTACTTTTAATGCAGCTAGAAACGATGAAGAGTTCGTTTTGACCGGTACTAAAAGATTAACTTGTGAACTAGTTTCAACTGATTCCTAAAATGATTAACAAGAAGAAACAAATCATTCAATAGTTATCATTAATTAAGAATAATTTTCAATTAGAGTTATAGAGATTAGTGTTTCTACACATTGAAACTATGAAATGGGTGAGGTCGAGCAAAATCTCTAGACTGATGAGGACTAGAAGTTAACACCGTTGAATGCCTACCGACAGACTCAGTGGTCCAGAGGTCAAGAGTTCGCGCGCAAGACAGAAGGTTCTGCGTTTGAATCCTGCGAGTAGCAGGAGTCGTGGATGCGCACTGAAGATGAGTCTCATACCACGACGAAACGGCAGTTCAGTGCTTCCAGGTGGTGGTCTAACAATGATTGATTGATGATTTCTATGTGTAATTAAGAATACGTCGGAAATTTAAAAAAATACACCAAAGAGACAGAACATAACACTAAAACAATATCACAATAATTTCTTAGATTAACAAACGCTGCAACTCCAAATAATAGTCATCCATGATCAAAGTCACAATTCTCGACACTAACCTCAAAAAAGTTCTAGTGTGCGATGATCAGACGTGGAGAACTACCACAACCTCTGCAAAAACGGGAACAGTTATTTTTGGGTGACTATCTACAAAAGATACTCCAGATCCGTTGGCGGGAGAACCACTAACAATAACTTACTCTTGTGAATAACAAACAAGTTTCTGTCAGCTGAGGAGAAAATTGGGAAAAGATGCTGGAGGTGCGTATTGAACAAACCTTACGGAAACCATTAAACCGAAAAGCAAGACAAGACCGTCTTAACACGGAATCTTTAATTGGATAAAAAGCCCAAGACAACATTTATTCTAGATAGTTTAGTTGATGCTCTGTAACCTTAGGGTGGTGGTGGTAGCCGACTTCCTAAAGATGATCAATAATGATGACCTACTGAGAAAAAATGAAGCCTTCCCGATTTGTTTGAATGCTATTGCTGAAAGTAAACAATAAGCTAGAGAAATATATGTGACGCGTTTGTATAATCTCTAACAAAAACTTAATGTACATAAATTAGCTTAGCTAATAATAATAATAGACCGCCGTAAACCTTTTTATATTTGAATACGAAATATGTCAAATCATTATTTTGGATATCATGTATGTGTAACGATATAGCCATAAAAAGAAAATATGATAAGAATTCTCTAATGTTGATTTTGGCTAACCTACATATTAATACTTTTGACTGTCTAAACATATTGTACACTTAATTGATGAGGTTCATCTTTTTTTCTAGTAAAATAAAAAAGACAAATGAACTCACTTCTAATGAATTTTCATCTCTGATTGGTTGATTAATGGAACCATACTGCTGAAAAAATGTAAATCAAAGTATTAAAAAAAACGATACACAAAAGTATAATTTACTAAGTTGACACAAAAGTTGCTATAAATTTAACCCTAACTCAATTAATGAATGCATATGATATGCTTGAATGCTATTACGAGTTCACTTTAGTAGTCGGTATACGAGAGCGAAGACAAATGATCCAGTGACACCATAGGCTATTCTAATCCGAGCTTCCCAAGGCCTCACTAAGTAGAAGAAAAAGTCTTGATATGGCGTAGGAAGTGTACTCCACAGGCATACAGAAAATGAGGTTGACAAGTACACAAATCGATTTTATTTACACACAACAGAAAAGTCCTTGGAAGAGCCACAAAAATAGCGTACTAAAATAATACATCAACCAATAACACCCAGGGATTTTTCCAGTGGGAAATGTAATTTCAAGGTCAATTAATCAGTCCATGCGCGAAAACATCAAGTGAGTTCTGGAGATCTAACGTCCCCAAAACAGCAAACTTATTTATAAACTCAACTTTAGGTGATGTGTGCGTTGAGGAGAGAGTAATTCTACCCCGATGCTCGCTTGAACTGAAGCAGGCACGGTGTAGTCTGAACCTGTACACCTGATCGATGAAAGTTAGATGGTCTAGTCACTAAATCCTCAGTACATTAAGAAGGTAAAATATTGCACTGATGGTGATTATCTACAATCGACTGTCTGAATCAATAATGAGGTAGTCAATGAACGACAAACCATTAAAAAACCCAACTATTAAGTAAGCCATAAACTTTGTTGATTTTACCTAAAGGAATGAACGAATATTAAATGATAGTACAACTACTATAGATAGATAACAGAATTTTATTTATACTTGGTTAAATACCACTCATATAAAAATATATGTGAATATAATTTACAGACAACATGACCTATTGATCCACTGATCATTGAATATTCAATATTTTTGACAACCAACACCCTAAATAAGTCACCCTTTTTAACCAACCTAAAATTACAATATAAAAATGACTGATTGACTTTCAGTCAATTCAACAGCACAGTCAATTGTTCAATCATATTTAAACTAAGCATTATGGAAAATTGTTACTCTTGTTCCACTTGCTAATTTAGTCGCTTTCGATGAATTTTCGGTGGTGATCGATCGGGAAATAGTTATTATCATTAATAATATCCTTATTTGAAGAGTCACTAAGACATAGATTACAAAGCGAGATAATTATTTTGACTTCAGAGGTAGCAATCGTTTTTATTGCTTTTTCCGGTCTTTTTTCAACTCCAATTGTAGAACTGAGCTCAGAACATATTGGCTTACTTACGACGCTGACCAGCATTCTTCAGCCTACTCTGTCCTGGTCGTCTCTTTCTAGTTCTGTCTAAAATGTTGTTCATTCTTTTCATGTCTTTTTCTATTTCTTGGCGTAATGTGCTCCTTGGCTTTCAGGATTCCAGGTGAAGGCTTGTCTTGTGTGGCTTATCCACTTCCAGCGCTTCTTCCTGATTTCCTCCTCCGCTGGAATCTGGTTTGTTCTCTATAACAGTAGATTTTTGCTGATAGTGTTTGGCTAGCGAATTCGAAGCATTTTGCATAGACAACAGTGAATGAACACCTGCATCTTTTGGATGATGGCTTTGGTAGTTTTTCCAGGTTTCCGCCCCATATAATAATAATACTGTCTTGGCATTTGTATCGAAAATTCTGACTTTGGTGTTGGTTGATAATTGTTTCAAGTTCCATATGTTGTTCAATTGTAGTTGAATTTCTGTCCTTGCTTTGCCGATCCATGCCTTCATATCTGCATCAGATGTGAACTTATGGGTCTCTTTGCATCCCTGTTGATATTGCTTGTGATATCACTTATACAACCGAGCTATCTTATTACTTGGTATTCTTCGAACATTGTACAACGCTCAACTAGTTCCCAAAATCAGAACACAGCTTGAACAGATAGTTGAATGCGAAGGGATTTGAGTAATATAAAACATTCTCAAGTCTTTTTCAGGTGTCCATTAGAGAAATGACCGGCTATGAATGAGCTAATCTGTGTGCTCTAACATAATCCTGCATTGGACGTGTTTTAATTCTGCCATTCATATCCTGCTAAGAGATTTACAAATATGTTAACAGCTCATAAAAATTAATTTCTGCTTCATATTAAACACGAACAGAAAATATCGACTAACTACTAGTTAGTATATGAGCTTTAGTGGTCTGTATTTGATGTGGTCAATAATTGATGGCTACCTACAAAGACGGTATTATTATTATTATTATTAGGGACTAAATCTTTTGAATAATTACAAATCAAAAACAACACCATTCACTAGATGAAAAGATTTTTTAGTGATAAAAATAAAATGATCATATGTAGAATATGAACACACAAAAGACGCAATAAAATGACATGGGCAATTAAAGGAAATTAACTTGTAGGTCACTGATTCTCCTTGAAAGACATGGCTCAAAATCATTTGCAATGGTGCAGATGCATTCGTTCTTTGTGTTCTCTCAAATTCTAATCTTCTGAACTCCTCATCATCTCTACTTTTCTCTTTTTTAAAGTTATTTCATTGAATTACACTTCTTGAATAATATCTTTAATCCCTAATATTCTCCATCACCATAGGATTCGAACTGATAGTGGCATCTCTGTGCTAATGCAGTATGGCAACCTGAACTGATGTACGCACGTACGAAGTTCTACGTTGTGACTGACTGTTAGGCCTCATTTTCGGACATTGTATCCAT